CCCCCCCCCCCGGCCAAGATGCGAAGGCGGAGGTGGTGCAGGAGCTGGAGCAAGAGCCCATCTGCCGAGAGCACATTGGTACGGTACCTAGAAGTATTTGCTCAGCCAGGGAAGCCAGAATCCCGAATCCCGCGCTCAGTCTGTGTCCGACCGCCCAGCACGACTGGTGATCCTGGCATGCCCCCGACGTGCAGCCGTCACCCATCCACGGCCAGGCACCCAAGGCAAGGGGAACCGAGAACAGCACACGGATTTCGCATGACATTGACCGGAACGACAACAAACGGGAAGCACAGACGATGGGCAAAGCGAAACCCGGGCGACTTCTGGCAGCCTCGGAGGGCGTGCAAAACAAGCCCAGGGCCTCGGCCTTTTTGGGCTCGGAACCCAGACCCTATGTGACCAAGAGCGGGGCTTGGTGCCGGGCCACCAGAGCCGGGTTCGCGGCACGAGCAAGGATGGGCGCTTCGGCGAAAGCCAAGGGGCTGCGCGAAATTACGTGTAAATCCCGCCGAGTCAAGGCGGCGCCGCCCACCCGAAGTCACTTTTGCCGCTTCCTTTGTTCGTTGGCTCTGGGCTTTGGGGGCGCTGGGCTCGGTCCCGGTCGGGCTGAGAGGCTGTCGTCAATCTCGAGTCTGGCACCTGGGCGCCCACGAGAAAGTGGGTTATAGTGAGAAAAATAAGAAAGATGACTTAAAATATTGGTGAACGACACACGGTACTTGGTTCATTCAACGGCCCTGTGTCGACACGACAGAGCACAGAAAGCGCCAGACTGGGCCGCTCCTGCCGCTGCCACATGGTCCCCGAAATATGATTGCCAGCCGGATTGAGGCTTCCCCCACCAGGATCAGCTCGAGCTTTTCCGCACTGGGCCACCTGAACCCGCAAGGTGTCTGATGTGCCCAGACACCCAGGCACCCAGGCACCCCTCCAGGTCCATCCATCGCTCTGCGCCGAACACCGCCGGCCTCATCCTCCAGCCGCCAACATCATGCCCAAGGAACGCCGGTCAGTGCCCATCACGCTACAGCCAATCACCCGTTGTGCGCAGATGGGGACAGTATTGATGAAATGACCGCCAACGATTCAGCTATGCCAGCCAACCCGGCAACCACCATGCTCTTATTATCACCGCTGCCACCTGGTATTTCAATGATATAAACCACGCTTTTTTTTTTTTTTTCCCACCGCGCATCGGCACGAGCCGGTGAACCACAGCACCGTGGTTGGATGGGTGCCACCCAGGCTGCTCCAGCCATGTCGAATGTTGGCACCACTTGCCCAAATGGCAAGCCCTGCGAACACCCACCCCACTGCGGCTTCCTGCATCTCACTCGCTGCCGACATGCACCCGCCAGCCCGTCTGATTGGCCCGCCTTCGCTCATCATGGACGTGGCTGGGGAGGCACGTGGCCCCAGCCGGCCCCAGCCTCCCGCTGCTGTTTGCTGGCAAGCTGAACACGCTTTGCCCGCCGCCGCCTCCGCCGCCCTGCCGCTCAGGCGCGTCGGCGGCTCGCTCTGCCTGATGGATCCATCTGTGCACCGCGTCTTCGAGATATCCCCGAAGTTGGGGCTAAGGTCCTTTCAATAAGCACCCGAGCCACTGCTCGAGTTCTTCGGCCCGTCAGCCAACACGTGTCTCGCCCAGCATCACAGGACCATTGTCCGTCAGTGTGTGGTCAAAAATGGAACAACAACAGGAACAACCACAACAACAAAAGCAGCAGCAGCAGCAAATCCGCCCGCAGCTGGCAAGCCCTGTAGGGGAGGCTGCGGCTTACTATACCTCCGCTTCCCCCGTCCCCGTCCCCGGCGCAACCGCCCTCGCGACCTCGGGCCCACTCCCGTTGCACGGCGGCCCGCCACCTCCCGCCAGCGGCAATGGCGGTCCCTTGACCCATTTCCAGCAGCAACCCAACGGCAGCAGCGGAGGCCATCCCCAGCACCAGCAGCAGCCCAACGGCAACGGCGGCGGCCATCCCCAATACCAGCAACAATACCAACAGCCGCCCAAGTTCGACCCTCCACCGCTGGCGCCCATGTCGCCCAGCCCCATGACGCAGCAAGGCTCCCTGACCCAGTCACCAGGGCCCATGGTGGCCGCCACAACAGCAACCACCCACGGTCTCAGGGGCGCGCGCTTGACGACCGAGTCCGCCCTCCGCGAGTACATGGCACTGCAGCGGCGCCGAAACCACGCAGCGGGCTCCGATGGCGTTGACATAGGCGCCCGCATCAAGCTGCAGTCGGGAGTCCTTGTCGGGGAGCTGTACCAGCTGAGGAGACGCGTCGCCGACCTGGTCAAAGCGGCCGAGCAGCATCGGTGGAGGAGGTGGTTGATCGGCGGCATCGTGTGAGTTTCTTTCTGCTTTTTTTTCCCGTCCCAGGCTGCCATTCCCAAGTCGCTCGGTACCCACCACATCCATATCATTACCATCCAAACGCTCTGGTCGTCAGCTGACTTTCGGTGTGATTTAGCGGAACTGTCATCCCGATGGTCAGGACCCTCTTCCGCCGGCCAGCAACCTCCATAGAGACGTCCAACAGCACCGAGTACGCCTTCTTCCGGAGCAAGTCGCTGCTCGGCCGCATCATGGATTCGGTCAAGGGCCTGGGTGGTCTGGCCTCCATCACCTTCTTCGTCTTCTCGGTGCTCTACGTCTTCCAGAACGAGGTCTCCCTCCGCGTCGCCAAGACTCTCAGCAAGCGCCTCCGACGCCTGTCCAACAAGGTTGAGGACGCCCATCAGCTGGACGACAGGGACATCGCCCTGCTTTCGGGTTGGCGGTGGAGGATTCTCGACGTGAGCAGTAGCAAGTGAGACCCATGGTTTATTCTGATGTATTCTCTTCTCGCCATCCCGCATGGTTGCCTTGGGCTCGGGGCGAACAGTTTCTTCACCGGCCCCGGCTACTGTACTGCCATCCACCCTTCGCTGCACTTCTTATAGTCTTGAGGGTATTGGGCGCGGCGCATTTGCGTGGTCGTTTGTCCTCAATTTATTCCTTTGGCGGCCCAAACTTCTTGCCCCTCGTAAGGCGATTTGTGCCTGGTAGGAGATATCTAGCGACGATGGACAATGCTTGGTATGATTTAGGAACCTCGGTCGTATACGTAATGTATGAAGGGGAGGAGATTTAGTTGCTGAAAGGAAATCCGGAAAGTGTTTATAGATGTAAAAAATGCGAGTACCGAACAGGTGTTCCTCCGCTCCTGTCCCTTGGGCACCGACTGCTGCGAGAATATCCCAGTGCGCCACACAGACTAAAAGCGAAGCACCGCCTATCAACCAGGTGGCTGATGGATATTCTGGTAGGTGGTTTATCCGGTAAAGCGCCTACCTAGCACATGGGTGGCCACCTACTCATGTACTGTTACGGAACAATCCACAGCCCACACCACACGGTCTTCCACCACCAGGTAGACACAGATGCTCCTCCCTCGTTGTGGAACTGCAAGTTCTTCGAGCAGGAGGACCCGGGTGTTACATTGTGACATGTATTAAGGTTGTAGGGGCCGATGGACAGTTCCACCCTCGACTTCCAGCAACAAGGGGGGCGTGCCAAAGTACCGCACCAATACATACGTGAACTAAAACATGTAATGGTTCTACCAGGCCTTAAACCTTTTAACTCACCCTAACGCGTTAACACAGTGTGGTGAATTTTGGCGGGTACAGCATTCCCGAACCCGGGATCACGAAGGTGAGACGGGGAGAATAGATATTTAAGAGCCCTGACCGGAACATGGCTGGTCTCATGCAACATCAGCAGTTACGATCAGTCAAGGGGGCTAGTAGTACATATGATATACCGAAACCAAACCCCATGTGAGATGCGCCGTAGAGAAAGGGGGCTCAAGAGGGAGGTTTAGATGAGTAGGTAGTTAAATGTCGTCAGCGATAGGGGTAGGTAGGGTTAGCTGCAAGTGGTACGCATGAATATATCTGCCAGCGCAATGGCTGCCATGGTTTAATGTAACCGTAAATGTCTTCGGTTTAAGAGAAGCTCTTTACGGGTAGGGGCGGTTGGTCTACTGGGCCGCGCACCACCCCCGGGGCCGAGTCGTAGCCGGGCCATCGCACTCACCCCTATCCTGCATTACCCAACCGGGCACCCTGCACCCACCCTGTACCTTTGAGCACTTGGAGAACTGGTGCTGGGTTGAGCCGGATTGGGACACGTATTGCAAACTTCCACTACGGCGAAGACACCATTACAAAACAAGGGAAGAGATAAATGGGGGTGCGGAGAGCTCACCGCGCAATGAATTCGTACAGTGGCTCTGGTGTGATATCGTCCGGCCCTCAAGTACCGGCACCAAAAATGTCCCTTGCCGGTGGTAGATCGCTAGGATACCTGGAGAGGCCCACAGAATCGGGACGCCGTGAGTAGTCCCTACCAGCTGACGTGCAGGTAACGTCTGAGAGGCTGGCTGGTGAGAGTTTGTCGAGCGCGCATATTGGTGTGCGTCAGTTGGGTGTGTGTGGGTGCAAACAGGGATCAACGATGAGCGAGATCCAGGCCTCGAGGCCATTTCAACCAATCAAATGAAAGGGACAGCCACGTTTTCTCGCCGGACGTCTAGGGGCTAGAGAGCCTCTCCCCCCTCGCTGTGGAGTCGGGCCAATCGGATGCCGCATGTTGCAAGCAGGTGGCCGAGGAGGACCCTTCTGTTTATCACACTCCATCGCGCGGCAGTGCCGCGCGAGAGGAGCAATGGGTATGACCCTGTGATGGCTTGGGACGATGGCGGGGAATCGCGGCGCTCATACTGCGGGCGTGATGCGAGGGAGTGGAGGGTCACAGGTGGTGAACAAAGGAACCGAAGGGACCTAGCTAGCCACGTGGGGACGGGCAACATCTTCATGGGTTGCTACAGTGCATGTCGCCATGGATGGTCTGGGTCTGGGCCTGGGATGTTAGGGAGGGGCGGGATGGCGACGGGAAAGAGATGCGTGCGCAGAAACAGGGGTGAAAAGAGTATAAGCTTGCAAGGAGCCTAAGTGACAGGATCCCAGTGGTATTTAGTCTCGAGTAGACCAGAGGGCGCAAGACTGCGGCAAACTATTCTCTAAGCACACCCTGTCTGCCCATTAGCCCAGACAGATATATACTCTTCTCCAAGGAGTTCCAAAACAAGCGCTGCTCGTTCTCACGTCGACGTCACGATTCCAGCCATGTCCATCATATCCGGCCCGGTTTCGGAGAAGGCTGTTTGGAGACTGGCGATCACGCTCCCGGCCGCCCTCACGACTCGGTGCCCAACGACCAGGGCACTGGAGAGGATAAAGATCGTTCTCATTTTGCTGAGCCTGTCAATCTGGTGGGAAGCTTTGGCCGCGACCAGCATGGCCACAGCATCTCTACTCGTCACGCTGGCTTCACTGTCGAGGTTCTCGCTCAAAGTAGCCATCGGAGCCCTCCGCTGCCGGAAAGCCATGTATTAGCCACGTCCACGGCGCAGAGACCATTTCAAGGCGGGACCGAGTTGGAACAAACGCTTGTCGTTCGAAATCAGCACGGCCATACTAAGTCCGGCCGGAAACGCTGTATTTCTGCTGCTGTTTTGGCCGGGCTGGTGGTTCTTGGCAGGGTTCCTGTGTTTGGCGTGGTCAGTGGGCTGTTGAGATGGCCCCTGCCAAGTGCACAAGGAACATGTTTCTTAGTACGTGGCTCTCGAAACCTTGGACACCGCTTCCTCCATGGTTCGATTGTAGAGGGCTGGCGCATCTCCGGATGGCAGAGGTCGCTGCTAGGCGAGGGGCATCCAAATGGAAGGAACTGGTGTCTTTATTCATGTTGAGGTTGAGCTGGGGACATGTTCAAAGAAAATGAACTGGGTATAGGAAGTCTTACGACAGCAATGTGCCAAGAGCGATTGCTCAGCCGAACAAAGACACGCTTCGAGCCGCAATCGGTGGGCGAGGTTTGTTGTACGATGGGGAAGAAATAGCGTCGACAAAGTTGATGGAACCGATCGGAGCAGGATGCTGCGATGTCAGCGCGAGTAAAAGAAGGTGTTGCCTCCCAGGTCGCGCCGGACCTCCTTGCTGTAGTCCTTGTCGGGCTCGAACTCCTGCCAGACGCTGGCTGGGTATATGTGTTTGTTTCGTTCGTACCAGCGCCGGTCAACGACTTTTGTCATGTTGGGGTCGTCCTGGGCTCCCTCGAGCGCCTGGATCTGCGCTGCTCGCTCTTGGTCTCCGGTTCGACGGAGCAAGCCCGCTGGAGGTCCAGCCTCGCTACTTGCCTCGCTTTCATCCTTCTTTGGTGGTGCCTCGACGCTGTAGTTAAAGAGGGGGCGGTTGCCTGGCCCTAGGGTCTTGTTCATGATGAAGAAGTAAAATTCGTAGTGCTGTAGGACAACGTATCAGCTTCTGTATTATTAACGGGGGGGAGAGAAGTAGGAAAAGAAACAGGGGCCTGCCACTGACATGTGGAATTATTATGGTCCCTCGAACCAGCATCAAGTCGTCGACACCGACTCTAGCCCAGTCACGTCTGGCATTTATGATCCTTTCGCCGCCGACACCCAGCTTTGCCCCGACCTTGCGGCTCTTGTCGAGGAAGACCCATGTGAAGTCGCCCTTCTTGACCGTGACAGTGCCTCCGGGCAGGTTGGTGCCGTCGTAGAAGACAAAGGGTATGGCGATCTCGGTGGCCTTAATGGCAGCCTGGAGGGCGAGGAACTCCTTGCGCAGGGCCTCGCGTTCCGCGGCCTCGCGGCGCAGCGCGGCCTTGGTCAGGGCGCGGGGGATCACGCCCACCGATGCGTTGGGCGTGATCTTGGGCTTGGACGGCCTCTTGGACTCGCTGGCGCTCGCCTCATCCCTGCCGCTGCTCTCGGCGGCCCCTGATGCATCCTCAGACCCAGCCGCCTCGTTCCCGTCCTCGGGGGAGGCCTCGCCCTTGGGCTGGGGCTTCGCAGGGGCCTTCTTCAGGATGCGCGGCGGCGCGGCGTCATCGTCGTCGTCCTCGTCGCCGTCAGCGGCGAAGGAGAGCTTGTTGGAGACCTTGGCGCGCTTGGCCGTCTTCTTCTTCTTCAGCTGGCGCTCGGCGTCGCTCCCCTCACTGCCGTTGGCGGGCGTGCCGGTGCGCGAGCGGTCTGGGGTCTGGGTGGCGGTGGCGGTGGCGGCGGCGGCGGCGGCGGCGGCCTGCTTGTTCTTTTCGCGGGCCTCGCGCTCCTGCTGCTCGAGGACCTCGGCGCGGCGCTTCCTGAAGTCGGAGAGCGCGACGAGCCCGACGGTGGTGGTGGTGAGGCGCTCGTGCGTGGTCTGGTTCCCCGTGGTGAACCTGGATGGCGGCGGGTTCGACATAACGAGGCGCTCGTCGCGGCCGTGACACGTCGATACGAGTGAGGCTATTCAGGTGCTTTCGTGTCTCAAGCGTCTCCGTGTGGCAGCACGATTTTGTCCCTGGACGTCGGGGTAGTTCGTGGGGCTCAGCTCGGGCATGTCCATTGAACTCAACGCGCCTAACTTTGTCGAACAGTGAGGCGTGGTGGATTACGTAACCCCGCACTCGCAGGGCTCCCCAGCCATCACATATCCCAAGTCACTTCAGCATTTATAGGGCCCTCCAAGCCATTCAACATCACGACCATTTCTGCTTCTCCTTTGTATCCCCTTTTATAACAAACTCAGTTTGTCTAACACATTGCTATACATCTCAGCGCGAAGTGGGGAGCCCTGCGATGCGTCTTGATGGCACTCGGAAAGGTCTAGTGACCAAGGCTGGAGAAGAATGCCAAGGATCCTGTCCATGCCTTCAATGAGCTCCTCGGAGCGATGAAAGGTCTACGTGGATGCCTCTTTTTGTCCTGAACTAACGCGCATCTCCAAAGCCTTAGTAGGTATCCTGAAACCATCCTGAATTAGCGTCCAAGGAGACACTAAAAAGCAGCTCGAGGCCGAGGACAAAATTTGCCGAGAAGAAGAGCGACACTGGAAAGGAGAGCTGTCAAGAAGGAGATCCGCTTTGAAGGAAAGCGACGCCGGAAACAAGAGCAAGTGCTGAGAATAAGAGCGACGGCGAAAAAGAAAGCCGTTAAGAACAGGAGCTGCTGATAAGAAGATGGCACTGAGAACAAGAGCTGATGACAAGAAGAGCGGCGTTGAAAGGGAGAGCAGCCGAAAAGGAAGCCGCGCTAGGAAGGAGAGTGGCATAGAAGAAGAGCAACGATGAAGAGGAGAGCCGCCGAGAGGGGGAGTTGCCGAGAAGAAGAGCTGCTGGAAGGAAGAGCAGGTAAAAAGAGAGCCATGCCGAAGGGGAGGGCCACGCTGAGAAGGAGAGCCGCCGAGGAGAAGAGAGACATCCCTTTCTTCTCGATCTAGCGCATGCGACACCCCCTGCACCTACAAAGAATTGTTGCCTATTCTCGAGCGAGGCCTCGGGTTCGACAAAGTGCTGCCGAGATCAGGGAAGACCTTGTCCGACGGATCTGATGGAAAACGCTCCTTCTAGTGCCCTTCCGTCAAAGATACGAAACAAATTCAAGTCTACATTGACTACACTTTTAGCTGCCAGACCAGGGATTTCTTGCCCTTGAAACTGTCTCGCATCGCATCCTCTAGTGGTGAAGACGCGCGCCGATACCACAATCGCCAGGGCGAGGACGACGCGCAGCCGCGGTGCCCGGCAGTATCAGTCTGCCATCTACTGGCTCGTTCACGCTCGAGTATGTACCAAGCAACGACGTCCTTGCGTTTGCTACCACGTAGCCGCGCGAAGGACCCCCCTACGACTAGCGCAAGAGGCTGACAACCAGAGAATAACCGCAGATTTCAGCACTATTACAGCGCTGCCAACACCAAGCCATCGAACCGACTACTGCCATCCAGTTTCCCCAAGGGTAGAGGAGCCACTCTTCAGCCGGGAAGCACGGCGACCCCGGCGCTGGATCGTGCAGTCTGCCGCGAGAGGCTGAAGCAAGACTCGACGTGATAAAGGCGCGGCGAGAGCGCTCGCTTTCGGCTCGCGAACAAGAGGGGGAAGATAGGTCGTAGCCGGCGCCGTCGCTAGGCACGACACACTCTCCACGCTTCCGGGCTGTACGAGCTAGACCTCTTTCGCGAGCTCGGCAACCATCGTCTGCGCTAGGCTGTACAAACGACCCCCTTGGACAGGCCCGATACATACGGCGCCATAAGAGGCCGGCGAGCTCTGCCGGCTCCGCGACCAGCTGCGCCACCAGCACCCGCTGCCTTTGACCGTTTGCCGGGGTCGCGGCGACAACCTGAGGCTAGATAACCCCAACAGGGCGACTGCATAGGGAGAAGCGCCTGGGGAATCTGTCGCCACGGTTGGCTGGCTGCTCTCTCTCTCTCTCTCT